CCCCAAAACCCCAAAACCCCAAAACCCCTATTTAGCATCCTTCACTTGATAATTATTAAGTACTAAAATAACAAATGAGCAATCAGAATAATATTTGGGAAGACCTAGCAGCTCCTGAAGAAGAAATTCCCAAAAGAAATCAAGTGTACCATTGGAAGAATAATACAAGCGTCCTTGTGAAAAAGTCTCAAACTGCATCTTCTGAACTTGATAAATATGAAAAAGAACGAGAAAGTTATTTTAGCACTAGAGAGTGCCAGCAAGAAAAGATTAAAAAAGTTTTTACACATCACTTTAAAGAGACTCCAACTATTGGAGAAAATCCCCAAAAGGCAGGAAATCAAAATCTATGCTTCTCTCAGACCTTGAAAGAAAGTAGAAAAATATCGTGCCCAGAATTTCTTCCCGACTCTACTGAAGCACTAAAAGGAAAGCTTAAGAGCTGGAAGGAGAAATGTAGCTATAACCAAAGCATAGCCTCTCCTAAGATGCTAAAAAGCATCCTGACCAAATCAGCAGGCAACTTTCACTCTTAAAGAGCCTTATCATTACTAATTTACTATCTAAATAAATTTGGCTAAACTTTGTACTAATGGTTGATTTGGGGCTCTAATAGTCTACACCAAAAATGCTATATTTACTAATTTAGGGTTAAACTTACTCACATATTTCTCATTTTATAAGCTAGAAAGGGCAGCTTAGAGTAAGCTCAGCCTCTTAGAGCTCTTCATGCAGAGGGTTATTGCCATTGCTATCGGGGATGACAAAGTTCTTACCTTCTTTAAGGATGTTACGCTTTTATGTACCAGAACCGATGAGTTAATGAGGTAAAAGAACTTACTTATTCGTAAAGTTAGAAAGACTGTGGTTATTACTTAACTTTTTATTTAGGTACAGTTTTTACTCTCTTTTGAGGACTGGGATTTTAGTGACCCAGCAGATCACTTGTTAACATTCCCACAACAGAGTTTGCTTTCTAAATACATCAAACTTTGTGCTCTATAGCTATGTGTAGGGCATTTTGAGAATTTTACGAACTCTCTCTTCGCCACCAATTAGGAAGATATTATCGAACAACCTTCCCTGCAACCCTCAGCTGTAAGCTATAATCTGTAAGATCGTGTGTACATACATCTTTATGGTTATTATCTAGTGTAGGGTCTTCCCTTCAGGCTCTGGGCTATCACTCTCTATCAACTTTTGGAGGCTAAAATTCTCCAAAAATTTATGAAGTTTTCTGAAAATTTCATATTACTGATGCAATGGAAATTTCTGTGTTTAGAAGGGATTATTTTAGACATGTAATGGGTGAAAGATCCAAAATTTATGCGAACGTATTGTTTTAGAAGGTATTTGGCTGAGGAAGCAATCTGGTTGTATGATGAGATATATCTCCACTCTAAATTAATAATGGGTGAACTTCGAGTAAGAAATCTTTTGGAAGGTAACTCTTTAAGACCCAAGATAATTTACAGACGTAAATAATACTCAGAGAGATGCTTTTTGATATCCTTTGTTAAGAAAAGTAAGGACCCGAAAAGAGAATATTCTCATTTTTATGGTTTTTAATTTTGTGTTGACTGAAATATTAAGAAATAATTCTTACTCAACTATTTTACCTTACAAATTCAATCAAAGCGGGTCTTATTGGGGTTTTGGGGTTTTGGGGTTTTGGGGTTTTGGGGTTTTGGGGTTTTGGGG